GCCCTACCTTCGATGACATTTCATTCCATGGCGTTGCCCTAACTCTGGTTTACATTCGACCAGCTGGATCAATCTGCTATGTGCATGAACCTGCTTCTGGGAGAACCGATCAGGTTTTTGACTCGGGTACTTGTACCTCTCCGGGAAAAAAAAAATCTGCTTCAAGTCGGCGCGTAGGTGCGTGCCTCCATCGGAATAGGGGAGCGTCGTCGGTGAGTTTTTTTTTTCAGATTCCTGAACCAAGTATAATTGTGAAAATAGTAGATACTTGCACGAAAGTGCCATTCTATGCTCGAGCACAGGTGCGCACGATATCCATCCCGTCGGTCCCTATCGAGATTCCCGAAGCGAAGCGTACAGGCCCAAGTATAACTTAGGTATACATATATTCATGCAAGGCCCATGGCCCACGTCTGACTTACAGACAACATTACGCCGTCAGCCTCCACCATAGCAGCTCGGATGTGGCTGGACGATATGGGCCATCAAGTACTAGTAGATTCTGGACCAACAACATCAATCAATAAGAAAACTGGACTAACCGTTGGAGCTACCGACCAATCTTCTCCTTTCCCCTATAAAAAAATAATGTCAATCTTCTCCTACACAATCCCTTTCCTTGGTAAATCCATCTGCGCCAAAACTTGTTTCTCATATTTAATCCATCCCATGAACCAGATCGTTTTCCCATCCGGCCTTAATCATTGTCTAACTCAGCATATGAGGAGAAGCTGCCGTTTATCCCTGCCCAGATTGCTTAGCTGATTATCACCTGGTCGTGGCGGCGAGAAAGCAGGCAAGCGTTTCTACAAATGTGTGAAAAGAGGTGTTAGATCTTGAATGGAGCATGATTTCGAAGTTTGAAAAAAAAATTGTAGATTTTCCCGGCTTAGTCTTTCTATTCATGCTATTCTTGCAGGCTGGTCTATATGGATTAATCAGATCAGACACGACGTACCTTGCCGATCTCAATCGCCATTACGGAGCCCAGTAGTATGCAGAATTGCAGATGTAGTTCCTCCTCAACAAGCAGGCGATGAGGCCCGCGCGATGAGGCCCGCTGATGGCGTTAGTCCAGATGAAGGTCCAACAAATATCTGAAGTTTTTGTATGAGACCACTCGCCAAGTTTTTACACTTTAACTTCACCAAAAGAGATTTTTTTTTCTCTTGACACCAAACCAATCCTCGGGCTAAAGGCTAAAACTTGTTTCCTTTAATCTACATGTAAGCCAACTATTGGCGACAATTTCTGCTAATTCCTGTGTGTAACAAGGCAAGAGCTCATGCAAGATCCTGTTTGATGTCAGTACAAATAGTTCTATTTTTTTTAACACGGACCATGTTGAATCAATCTAACAAATATGTGCACACAGGCATGCACGCTAGTTCTATAAGAACAATGCTTTCAAATTTCTCAGTCCTTAATTCGACGTACACTCATGTGAGGAGTATTGCGTAGATTTGAATTTGAACAATCTAGAGTACCATTCAACCATGTCTGACAGTTTGTAATTTTTCAAACTCCAACTCTTTTACTGATTTTTTTGTCTCATATAAAGACCAGAACCTGCACAAGCACACACACAACTGCCCAAAGCTGAATCATAACAAATATGAACATCAACTGCAAGCAAATCGCAGTCAGGCATTTAACACCTGTAGCTTCAGGTTCCATACTCATTCTCACACATAATCATACATCCAAACTTAACATATCCACATGCTGGTCCCAACACAACTACTTATGTGACAGATGTTTCTGCCAGAGGCGGATCCAATTGGGGTTCCATGGGTTCCATGGCACCCCCTGCGAAAATGCAAAGTATACTTATTATATACTAGTAGTTAGGCTCATTTGGGTGTACTATTAGTGTTTAAATACGTGAGTATTGAGCATGGCACTCCTATCGTGTAGTTCTAGATCCGCCACTGGTTTCTGGATGCGAGCCTAAACACACATTAGTTACTCAAAATACATGCCCATGGCTAACACTGGAAATCCTGGGAAATCAACACCACACCACAACAAGTGGATGGCAGCTAACATTTCCGTCCAGTGCGATGGAAACCCCAGGAAACCACTGCCACACCACATCAAAGGGGATGGTAGCTAAACTTTCTCTTTAGTTTGTTCCGCACAACGAAATGCTTTCACAGCAAATGCACACCTACTGCATATATAATGCATATCTGACACCCCATCTCACTTCAGAATGGCAGCACCTCGATCATGAAATCTAGCAGCTCACCTCAGTTCCCCCTCGTAGAAATCACCTCGTATGCTTCGCCCAGAGAGTCAAAAGTAGTACCAAAAGCTGGTGTGATCACGTTTTCAACTGGGTTCTCTCCACAACACCTGGCTGCCTTCTCGAACGCACTGATTTGATTTGGGCACGGTGTTCTGCTTCCTGCGGCAGCACCAATCCTAAGCCTGCAAGCACAAACATACATTGCATAAATTTTCTGAATGCATAGAGCAATCAGCCCGCAAACACGGGCACAAGTAGCATAAATTTTCAGAATGCAGAGAGCAATCAGCCTGCAAACACAGGCACATATAGCATGAATTTTCTGAATACAGAGAGCAATCAGCCTGCAAAAACAGGCACATATAGCATGAATTTTCTGAATGCAGAGATCAATCAGCCTGCAAGCACAGTATAGCATGCTTGTTCTGAATGCAGAGACCAATCAGCACTTGCTCTAACTGTAGGATTTCTTCACTCATGACGCTTCCTAAATTGCCCTTCACTAACCTCTTGTTACACCCCGACGCTTAGGGATTCAGCTTCCCCGTTGATAGCATGCTTGTTCTGAATGCAGAGACCAAGCAGCACTTGCTCTAACTGTAGGATTTCTTCACTCATGACGCTTCCTAAATTGCCCTTCACTAACCTCTTGTTACACCCCGACGCTTAGGGATTCAGCTTCCCCGTTGATAGCTCCGAAGTCGGAGGGGAGCTCTCCCTTCTTCAGCCGCCGCCTCCTTCGCCGAGAAGATTTGTGCTTCGTCGCTGTCCACCGTCCGATGCTGCGCCACCTCGCCCTCCGCCCTGCTGCGCCACCTCTAAAACCGCCACCGCAGGGCCATTCACAGCCATAGGGGGCGGCACCAAACTCTTACCTACTTCCTCAAGCAGAGCAGATCTGAAACTAGGAAAAAATCAATCCTCTGCATCAACTAAGACAAAGGCCTAAAATGGGAATGGCATCGCCAGGAAATCAAAGATCCACGGACCTGTCGATCGGCTGCATCAGAAACTCCATGGTGCCTCGCCGCCGGTGCTCCTTGCCTCTATCCTGCAGTGCTCAGCTTCCAAATGACCTACGCCCTGGGCAAGAAGACTCGGTCCTGCATTCAATTCGGTTCTTCAACCAGTACACGGAAAGCGAACTTCCTAATCCACCGATCAGACAGGACCACCGATTACAAATTGTAGAAGTCGTACGCCTCGTCCAAAAAGTCGAAAGTAGTGCCAAGAACTAGTGTGATCACATTCTCAGCTGGGTTGCCAGAATAACTCTTAAGAGCCTTCTCAAACGCACTGATGCAATTTGGGCAGGCTGTTCTCCTCGGTGCAGGAGCATCAATCCTCAGCCTGCAAACGCATCCAATTCACATATGAACTGCCTGAATTCGATAAGCAACATTTTCTTGGATGAACTGCCTAGATTCAGTAAGCATGATTCTGCTTACTGACTGCAAATCCCTGGATTAATGACTGCAAAAGTAATTCATCCGAAAATAATTTTTCATAATAACATGATTATGAAGATAATACTTTGGTCAACATGCAAGAAAACAAAATTCGTATAATATGTGACAACAATTGAGTGAATATATTGCAATTAAAAATACCAAATGTTCTAGAGATGGATGACATATAAGCAAGAAAAAAGGCATCATGTCAAATCTGGTATGTTCAGGCAAATATGCTAACCATAAATCATCCATGACACAAATCATGTAAATTTTAGAATTATATTCAATACAACTATACAAAATAGAAGTATGGTTAGAGGAACTGGCAACAGAGGAGATGGAGACGGACAAAGGAGATGGTGATCTCGTGGCAGAGGAGGAGGGGATCCAACAGCATGGGAGGAAGGGACCGATAGAGGAGGAGGAAACGATGGGACGGTGGAGCAGGGGAAGAGGAGGAGGGGGAAGAGCGGCGGCGTTGGGCTAGATTGGGCAGCAGAGGAGGGCCATGGCCGCCATGGGAGGAGGGGATAGGATGGGCAGAGAAGGGCCGTGGCGGCCATGGGAGAAGGTGAACAAGCGGCGGCGGAGAGGGGCGGGAGGCCGGCGAGGTGAAGGGCACCTTTGCCTCGGTCGGCGGTCCTTCTCTCTACACCGCAGTCCGTGGAGAAGACAAGCGAACTTCCCGGGTCATGGATCAGACGCGTACCTCGATTCCGATCCGCGGCT